TATTTCGTTAAGCGAAAAAAAATTTTTGGGTTTAGGTGCACTTTAAAAAGTTTCGCCGACACAATTTTGTCTGGTAAATCACTCACAAGAAATAAAATCAAATCTTTGCTTCCTTTCTGGACTCTTTAATTATTTGCAGAGCTTGAAGAATGAGGAGGGCATTGTGGAAAATGGTGAGTGTCCTATTATACTTAACAAGAACATTATTTTGTGTTTCTTTGTATGTGAAATGTAGATGGAAGCCTTTCTGTTGCGACATAGTCACTGTAAATATGATCTCCAATTATTCTTTTTTTTTTTTTTGCAAATGCGTCCACATTTAAAGAGTTAGTGTTTTAACAAGAGAATGGACAAAATCACCCAACAGGACACCAGTGGTTTTTGTTTTTGTTTTCATTTTGCGTCAGCAATAATAACAATAATCACATCTGTGGATCTTATTGAAATTGAGAGGTTATCTAAGGCTGTTCCGATGCTCAGTGAAAAGGGACACCCAACGCTCCCCTGTCTTTTAATAGCCCATTTCCGAATTACCTTTGGCCTCATTTTCAAAACGAGTCCTGGTGCTCATCCTTTCATATGATTAGAAGTTTTCATTCACATGCAAATTAAACTCATTTTCACAAGAATGGTTGAGCACCAGGCCTCGTTTTGAAAAAGAGGCCAAGGGTAATTCGGAAATGGGCTATTGGCATAGCAAACCAGATGTATATTGAAGAACGGGGTACTCTTCTCCACTAAGTCGTTTATGGAAACCCAGAGAACTGCAAGATGTGTCTGTATTCGCTCGTTAACGGATTGAATTCGTTACAGGAACCTCGGACTCAGCCGTGCCTATTACGTGATGGCGCCAAAAGCAAGTCACTGGCATGTGTGAAGTGAAGACAGCTTCACATCAGCAGGATATTTTATCCATTGACTTCTTTCAAAATTGTAATTAAAGCTATTTAGGAAAAAAGACTACAGTTTCAGTAATTTGACTTTACTGTTTTCGTCGAAATATCCTGCACTAATTTCGACGTGAGGAAAACGCAGTGTAATCCTGGGTGCCCTGTGTTACTGGATGTGAGAGTG